GCCCATGATCGCTAGGTCGTCAATGTAGCTCCAGACTCTGACATCGGGATGGGGGTTTCGAAAGTTCGCGAGGGTGTCGGCGATGGCACTACATGCAAGAGCGGGTGCGTTACAGTAGCCTTGTGGGCAGACGTTCCATTTGAACATCTGCCCGTTAACAGCCATGTTGAGGGTGCTGAGGCGATCGTCGATGCTGATCGAATAAAACATGTCCGTTAAGTCGATGGTGGCACCCACCATTTTATGGCTTCATGTTGTCATATTTGGGACAGTGTGTCGGGGAGAGACAAGGCATATGGTGTGGCAAGTGGAGAGCAGCGCTTGTTGGCTTCATGATAGTCGATGACCAGGCGTACAGCTCCTGGTTGGTGAGCTTTAGCGAGACCCCAGCCGGTTGACAGGAAAGTCGAGGCGGTGACAGGAGTGATTTTTCTCTCATCTTGTAAGCGCTGGAGCAAGGTCTTCAGGGGATCATGGAGCAGTTCCTTCATTGGAATGGGGCGGTACCTCCAGGGCCTTGTAGAGTATAGCGACAGGACAGGCAATGGACTCGCTGTGGTGACAGGCAGTATGGCGGCGACTTGGTGCTTGAGCCACAGTTGACATAAGCTGGGTATGCCCAGGAGGTTTACATCCCCCAAAACGGCTGTAAGGGGTTTTTCCTCTCCTTTTACCCAAAAATGCACAACTTGGGTTTGCTTCATTTCATTCAGGCCTCGAACGAACGTGGTAGCCTTAGCGGGTACATGCGGGACGTCAGGGCAGATGACATTGACTTGAGCTCCAATATCCAGGAGAAAACGCACATTGCGAGGGTGTTGCAAGCGCGGGGGGTGATAGACGGTAATGCGGCTATAGGGTCGGGAGTCGGTCACCGCGGAGCCGACGGCTACGCTCAGTTTTTTTGAAAGTCACCCTCTTGCCAGTTAAAACTGAGGCGGTCAGTGAGATGTTGTTGGCTTTCTTCCATGAGCTTGCAAATGTCAGCTTTGGAGAGTCCGGAGCGATTTAGTAAAAAGCCAAACATAGCTCACTCACGGGGCAAACGTTCGGGTCAACTGGTGCATCGATCTGGGATAGGTCGGCGACTGGGCAGGCGAGCTTTGTCCTGTCGTTCTTCTAGGGTGGCGGCGTGTACTTCGGCGGAATGTGTGGAGCTCTCGAGCTCTCTCAGGGTGGCTTGTAGCTGACGGTGGCAGCCACAGCGTCACCCGCTAGACCGGCAAGCAGGAGGTCGATGGTGATCTTATGGGGCCCCCCTGTGACATTCCACGGCGGCTCGGATTGCCTCTGGACGTACCGGAACTGTGGCCAGATCTGCTAGAAAGCGGTGGGGCCACGGGCCATTGATATGAGCGGCGGTAAGGCCTAACGGGGCACACCGCGGGTCCCACAAGGCTTAGGAGATGCCAAAAACCGTGTGCACTAGGGCCGTTGGATCAAACCTGGGTGGGCCACCATCTTGCCAGTGGTATGCATGGCCTGGAGCATGTCTAGTGAGTAGGGCCGGCAGTAGGATTGGCCAGTTGGTGTTGTTCAGATGTGGGGCCATGTCAGTTAATATGCCCCCACTCCATCCCGTATTACGGACTAAAGTGGTTGTCTCCTCCACATCGAGGGTTTCATGACCGGCTTCCATGACAAGGCGGCCTAGCCATGCCATGAAAGTCTCCATTTGACCCTTGCGAGTGGCAGCTACTAGCTCAGTCAGTTCCGCCCAGGAGCGGGTATGAAGGATCTGGGTGGTTTGCTGGCCCGCTGCTGTTATTCTGGTCTTGGTAACTGTGACAGGGAGTGCTTCTTCTGGTGGGGTGGTTGGGGGTAGAGGTGGGCACAACTTTGGTTCCTCCTTGCTCAGGGGAGGTACGTAGGGAGAGGGTGCTGACAGAGGTGGTTGACCGCCCGTGGGAGGGGCCAGCATCTTAACCCCTGAGCCTCCCGGGTCGTCCCTCTCCTCCCCCCCCTTCCCTTGGGTGGTGGCTGCTTGGCCATGTCTAGGTGTTGGCGCGCCGATGTTTCTAGCTGGGTCTCTAAGTCGGCAGCCTTGCATAGGAGAATAGAGACTGTGCGGAACAGGACATTTAGCATTTTTCCTTTGTCCCACTTCGGGCCACCCCACTTAGTGGCAGTGCGTCCATCGGATTCAAGGGATTCACGACACTGTGTTAGCAGTTCGTGCCTGCGCGATCCCTCCTTTAGGGCGGGGCAGTTAAACTTATCTGGAGGGGTAGTCTCTCCTCCCTCCTTGAGGTGGCGTATACACCGGGCAAACTCTTGTGCCGGGGTCGGATTAGCTGCGCCCACTGGCTTAACTCTGGCAAGATTTAGCGCTCCGCACACCTCGCGGGCCCGAAACATAACCGTCGGGTGGCTCATGATGCAGCCGAATGCTGCGGGGCTCAAACTCATATTCCATTCCTTTCCCCCGGTTGTTAATGAGAGGTAGCCCATGATCTCATCGCAGGCCGAGGGACCGGCGGCCTGGTGGTACGTTATATGGGCCCAAAGGTCATCAGGATTCAAGAGTGGCTGTGCCCCTCTCGTCCACGGGCAGCAGCAGAGTAATTTGTGCTGCTTCATTCCTCCATCCCCACCAGATCCTGTTTATGACACCATGTCCTGCCGTGGGGTCAGGGCACAGTCACACTGCTATTGGGGTGGATAACTCACGCCCCGTTTGTTCTTTTCGATCTGGCTTTAAGGGAGGAGGAAGGCTAACCTTTTTTCTGAGAAGAAAGCAGCAAGTAAATCTGTGAGTCTGTGTGCTGTGAACCAGCTACAATAAGGAACAAGATAAGATACAGGGGCCCAAAAAAAGGTGGAAGATGGTACAACCTGAAACAGAAAAATAGACTGGAATGTGGAAAACAACACGTAATTGGTAATAGAATCCAAGATGAACATATGCAAAAAGGTGAATGGTAATTGATGAAGAAGCCTCCAGAAGCTTCCAGGTTTTAGTCATAGAATCAATGAGTCTGAAGGGAGCTAGACAGATCATCTAGTCTGACCCCCTGCCATGGGCAGGAAGGAGCACTGAGGGCGGTCAAAGTCTGCCCATTGACCAAAGAGCAGGAGTCAAGGTCTTAGACGTGCTCATAGCAAAAAGACGTGTAAATGCATGAAATGCATAGGCAATTCTGTGCTAATGAAGCAAACAGTAAACAGAGGCAGAGTTTAAGATGACAGGAAAAATGGGTGGAACAGAAGGCAGTGCGAGGGTAGAGTAAATGTTAATGAGTATAAACCAAAGTGTATAAATATGTGAAAAAATTATTGTTCATTGTGGCTCCCCATATTCTATTGGTGTGGGAGCCAGTCCAAAGCTGTCTCCATTCTGACTAAAGCTGCTGCAAGCAATGTGTGCTGGTGTTTAGTCCCTGCTCTGCTCTGGCTAATGAATAACAGGATCCACAGGTAATTGGACCATCTTCTCCCAGTTGTTGGGTGCTGCATAGTCAGGGTCTAACACTTAACATATCACATTGGCCATTCAAAACACTGCAATAAAGCGTAAAAATATGGCAAGTATTGAGATTTAAAGCATAGGCAATAAGTTAAAAGACTTATTGTTGAAACAGTAAGTAGTTTTTGTATTTCTGTGGTCAATAAAAGCAGATGCCAATCTCCATGCTTCTAGTTTCTTCTGTTCTTTTTGCACGCTAATAATATGGCTGGGCTGGAGAGCACTGAAGGCAAGCTAACTGGTCACCAACTTTTCCCTCATCACCAAATATATAGACCAAACACTGTTCCATTTTACTTGTGGGTGGTGGCTAAATTTAACTAGATTATCAACACCCAAAAACCAGAGAGAAAAGCAGGTAACTGGTGGGTGGGTGGGTGCATGCACAGAGTAAAGTTACAGATTAATATCCAAATGACTAAACAGCTGTATTATAATAGAGGACTTTACCAAACCTACCCACTTATTTGTAAATGAAATTGCATCATATATACTGCATATTCACATTCATTATAATCCATTCTGAGACTCAAGCAATATGCAACCACAAAGATGGAAGGAAAATTCCAACTGAATCTCTTTTCTCTTTTAAAGAGAATTATACTGTATCAGCAATTTTCTACTTGAGGCATCTGAAATAGTAATGCTGTTTTTCAAATAGTATCTGTTACAGATTACCAACTCGTCTGTGCAGATGAAAGTTAAATGTTCACATTCAGTTAATTCATAAGCAAAATACTTGCTTTTTTGTCAAGTATATTTTCTTTCTCAATCAAACAGAATGCAAATACCAACTACCTCCAATGAGAGAGAATAAAGTTTCTCTTACATTTTGGATGTTGGTTTGACTTAATTAGCAGAAATATTCAAAGCGGCTAACAATGAAAATAATTTATTAAACAACTGATAATGACATATTGTAGATAGCTTAATGAAAATGTAATGTTTCTGTAACAGAATTATTTTTAAAGAAATAAATTAAGATCAGGGGTTTGAAGGCCACTGTTCAAACAATGAAGTAATAGCACAAGTCACCATGTTCATTTTTTAAAGTTTCACATCAAAAACACTTTTTACTGGATGATAAAAAGCAATAGAATATACTCTCAAGGGCCTGACCCAATGAAAGGTAGAGCATGCCTGAAATATAGGATATTTGGTGGCACTTAATACACCATAAGTTACCATCTTATGACTATCATCTTTGATGTGTTTGGGTTCCTTAACTTTGGTATAAAATACCTATATTTATCATGCTGCCTAGAGAGATTTCCATAAGTAGCAGTTAAGCTTCAGTATGTATACAAGCAGTAAATGAATTTTCTCACTGCTTTACAACACAGAGCTTATTACAGTAAACCAACCCACAATGAAAGCCTTACAATGTACCACATAATTAAAATGGTGCTTGTGCTGTGACTTAAAAGTACCCCAAATTAATTTGAACTATATAAGGGAAACATTTCAACTTGTAGTTCTCTCTCCTTAGGTCAGATCTTCATCAAAAGGTTTTGTTTAAATATCTATTTTAAGTTTATTTTCTTCCAGCCATAATCTTTAAATACTATAGTACATTATGAGCAGCATCATTGTTTGCATTACCCCAAGAGATCCCAGTATTATGGCAAACTGGAACTGGATTGCTTGAAAGTTCAGCAAGACACTGGTACTGTCCACTAACACTCGGCTCTTCTGAAATTACACAAGCAAAAAAACCCCCAACCCAATCAACTCAGCATTATTTTTGCATTTGACAGTTATTGTACAATTTTAGTTTTCAAGTTTTGCATACTGGAATCAAGTATAGCTACCAAACTGAACTACTTCACAAAACATATGGTTTAAAATTAATTCAGAATAAGAATGGGCTGTTCACTAAAGTCCTAAGTGACCAAATCACATTTTTCTGTTGTTATGATGCAATATTTTTAGTAAGTTTTACAGTAAATTTGGAAAGAGTAATTGGAATATATTTGTCAACTAAGTATCGATTGGTTTATAAAAAGTCTCTTATTTTAATAAAAGCTGTTAAGTTAACTACCTGTAAAGAAACCACATAGTTACCAAAACTGAGGTAAGACTTCATTCTTACCATATCCTGTCAAAGGATTTTTTTATATCAGCATATAACTTCCTATTATTTGGAAAATCTTTATTTTGAGTGTGTATGTCAGTAATGCTAACTGCATGTATTTAGTCTCATTTTATACTAATGCAATAGAAAACCTAAGAATTGGCATTCCAGCCTTGTAAAGCAGCAAGGTGTCCTTTCCACCGGTGTCAGAGCAGCCTTCAGAGTTGTTTATAGCAGGGGAAGGCAAAATATGTCCCATGGGCTGCAGAGGGGCATTGTCCAGCCTCCAACATGTCTCCCACGTCCCCCCTGGCTGAAGTGCCACTTGGCCATGGCATATCCTGCCTCCCCCTGGACACACAGTGGGGCTGGGGTGGCTCTACAGTGGGATAGCCTTTCTAGGCAGCTCTGGCAGTGGCAGCTCCTTCAGGCTGCCACTGGCCCCAGCCCCGCAGTTACTGACAGGGTCCAGCACACGCAACCCCAACCCCATGCTGGTTCCGGGCTTGCCCATCTGGGCTGAGCAGCAGCAGTGCAGGAGAAACTGCTGTTCAACGTGGAGAAAAGTGGCTCTTCCCCCTCCCCCTTGCCAGTGTTTCCTGGTACAGCTGCTCAGAGCCCGTGCAGAGCTGCCCCATGTCTATGCTGCATCACCCTTAAATCTGGGCTGCTCTGTGGGGCAGCAGTGGCAGCACAGAGCAGATGCAGGACAGCCCCACATGGGCTCCAGGCAGCTGCACCAGGAAGCACCAATGAGGGGAAGGGGAGAGGCAGCTTCTGCCCTACAATAAGCATCAGTTTCTCCCCCCTTGCCACTGATCCTGGGCCCCAACGTGGCTCCAAGCTCACCAGTCCAGGCTGAGAAGCAGCAGCAGTGGTGGTGATACTAGACAGAAGCTTGCTTGGCACAGGGGGGAAAGCAGCCCCTCCTGTTCACCACCACCAGGCAATTTTTGGTGTGGCTCCATCACCATAGCCTCTGGGCTGCCCTGTGACTGCTCTGGACTGTTACAGTTGCTGCGCAGGGCAACTCACAGGCAGCAATGATGGAGCTGCACCAAAAACTTCCTAGCTAGGGAGAGGGGCAGCTTTATCCTCCACACCAAGCAACTTTTTGCCTGGTGCTGCTGCTGCCACTGCTCAGCCTAGACAGGTGAATCTGGAGCCAGTGCAGGGCTGGGGCCAGCAGCAGCAGGAAGGAGCCACCCCATCCCACTGCATGCCTAGGGATGGCAGGATGTCCCAGCATGCCTGGCTGTGACTCTGCGTGCTGTTGGCAGGGGTGGGGAGGTGCCACAGGGTGCATGGACTCCAGGCTGTTGTAGGGCAGGGACAGGTGCTGACTAGCTCAGGGGAGCACCAGTGCACATGCCACATACCCTCAACCTCTCACTTGCAAACCCCACAACCACACAAATATCATATCCATACATACACCCACACACCTCTGGGGGGAGCCCCACTCACTGATACATGCACACACCCCACCACATATGCACCCATACACATACCCCTGGCCCCCTTCCCCCTCCACAAACCGCATACCTACCCACTACTCGGACATGATAAAGAATATCTTGGACTCTAAAACTTGTGTAACTCTATACAAACTATGCAGTTAGTCCAATAAAAAATACCACCCCAAAAATCCTTGCTTCTCTGCGTCTACAGTGATTTAGGCTCCACTCTTGCAATCAGACTTCTAATTCCAAGGGGATAAGTAACAGTTTACTGTCCAGTTATATAGATGATGGGCTGAGTTTGGGGATAATGTTTCTCTTCTCCCACTTAAGAAGTCTCAGTATTCTGCATATGAAAATCAGAACACAGAGAAAAACTGCAGCATGGGTCACTGTAACAGGTTGCTTTCTCCAGCACCATCTGTTGCGTTATCTGCACCGTATGCGAGGTGCCTTTGGAGTCCCCTTTAATGTTTCTCATGTCCTGCTCTCTACTCTCCTGCCACGTCTTGATGGAAATATTATAAGCAGGAGACTGCCTATTGTTTTTGTATATTGGGGTCCTCTGCCACCACTGGCCTTGTCCCAGTCTCTCTAGCTAGGCCTCCCCATCTAAACTCACCAGATAAGGTTAGACTCTGAGGCTCTAGCTCCGTGGTCTTGGGGCTCCTGGTCCTCCTTTCTGTCCCAATCTGGAGCCCAGCCTCCCCGGCCCAGAGGCCTGTCCACCAGGGCCAGCTGCAAGTTCAAAACCAGGCAGCGGCCTCAAACCTCCGCTGTCCCAATCTAAGATACCAGGTCACCTTGGCCTTTTATGACTACGCCCTCTGGCACCAGGGCTTATGCACCCCAAATACTGTACCCTCTCTGGCACCTGGGTACCCACACTGAAGTGGACCCCAAAATGAGGCCTCCTCCTTCCCCAAATAGCCTCTCTCAAACGACCAGTAGTTAATCAATCAAAACTTGTACTTAAAGAAGGCAGCATGCCAGCTTACAGTTTCTCAGGCGTTCATGCTTCCACTCCCCACCATAGGCTACAGTGCTTCTTCTGGGGTTGCTGCCACTTCTCTGGGAGTCCTCCATAGATCCCCTCCTGCAGCCACTGGACCACTCTCTATAGAGGTCTGTAACACACTCCTTCCCCCTTTGGCTACTGGCCCCTATTGCTGCCCAGCCCAGGATTTTTATAGTCCTGGCCTGCCCCCTTCTGGTCACCTGACTAGCTGGCCAGGCTCAGCTTTTAACCCCCACCTTACCAGAATGCTGTGCCCAGAAAGTTCTGGTCTTAAAGGGGCTGACCTGTCTTCTGGTAACAGGGTTAGGGTTCCCTGTTACAGTCACCAAGCAGGAATATATCCTACATGTACTATAATAACTTATTAACGTACCTGTGCTTAAATATTTTATAACAAAATTATGATCATCTGCAAGTTCTCTAAGAAATTGGTTGTAGCCTACATTAGGAATATTGAGTCAATTCCTTTTCAGCATTATCTTATCTGTTGATGAATTCCTTAAGGCAACCCAAGTGTATCCTAAAATATTTCCCAGCCCATTTTCCTGAAAAAAAATTGGAAGAGTTTTTAGATTTTCATATATTTGAAATATCTGTTTCTATATTAGAACATCTATATGTCATGAAAAATACTTTTCAACAACAAAATAATTCAATCTTCTCTAACTTGTGCAAAAGCAACATATTCAGACTCCCATGGAATACCTTCAGACTGTGAGTTGTTTCCAACTTCCTTGCTGGACTGTGTCCCCATGATGGAGTAGTGACTGATTACCTATTTCTCTCTATCTCTATATGCCATGCACTGCCTCAGTTACTAAAGTCTCACTTTTTTCCTGTCCCTAGTCTCCCTCTTTCTCTTATTCTTTGTGAATTTTTAACTTCCCCACTGCTTCAGCTTATTTGCTCTTCTTCAAAGCATCTCTGGTGTCCTTTCAGCCAAGTCCAACTTGCTGCTCCTTTTTATAGTAACTCTTGGGTATTTTTTTACCTCACCCAATATTTCTCCTTCCACGCTGTTACACAGAAAACAGACAGTACTGCATGGTGGTATAATGTTGCATGGTGGAGCTTCACTAATTGCATAGTGGAGCTAATTAGGCAGTTCCACAGTAAATGTCTCATGTAGACGTGCCCATTGAGTGCCAGTGGTTCACAGTCCTGAGGTTTTTTAATATAAAAAGATGGCATATGGCTACATTTCCATGTAGCCTTGGTCAAGGCAGATAGCTTAAACTAGGGAAAAAATCAAAAGATTGAAAACAGTGAATGTCAATTTATTTAAATATGATGGTACCAGTAATGTGTATAGTTGCAGTGTAATAGTAGGAAAAAAACCACCCATGCAGTCATATTTATGTTAGCATTTTTTTGTGTCTGTAACTGTATTATAAAATATACTGTCAGGTCAAAATGAGATGTTGTCTGATTATAGTTTCCTTATGATAGCTCTTGAGCAGACTGGTATGTAAATTGAATATAAAGAACTTGAAAAAGATAAAGTACATTCTTTTCTGGTAATATATAACTATGATCAGTTCCATTCCAGAATTTAAAAGCAAATGTCAGGGAATGTGGTTTTAAGATTTTTTTCATGTGCATGTTTTAAGCTAAACTTTTTGAATCCAGAATCTCAACAATATCTGTAGAAAACAAATATCAGATTATCAGAAAACAAATATCCGACAAGACCCAAAATCTTTAACATCCAATAGGCAATTTTCAGTTTTTTATTTTTATTTATAGTTACAGGAAATGATTTGTGTATTGTGCATTTCCTCAGAATCATGTAACTCAGCGCATTTACAGATGTGCTCTGGGAAGTGGGGAGGGCTTAATTAGAGCGACTCTGAGAGATGCTCTAATTAAAGCACCTGAAGCATCACATGTATCAACATCCCCACACTGAAAAATGGTGGGGGGAGCACTTTACTAGCTTTACTTCAAGCACCCCCATTGCCATTTTTCAGCATGAGAATGCTGATACACATGACGCTAGAGTCTGCTGGAGCATGGTAATTATTATGCTCCAGCAGACTCGACTAATCGAGCCTGCTCCAACATGTTGTGCAATGCATCAGAGCAGCCTCTCTGCACGTGTATAGGTGCCCTCAGGTTCCAAGACTGCGTTTAAACATATACTTACATTTTAAGCGCATGAGAAGTCCTGAAGTCTGGCACTCTCTCAAGATGTGAGAGGTGTGTGTTAAAGTTGGCACTGAATCACACTTCCTGGTGGCTATGCTATTCCACTGAGCAGTGATGTATCAAACTCATCTGCCTCTTGTGGGCCAGATCCAACCTGTGAGGCTCCTTTAGGACTGGATCCAGATCCACCCCTGGTGACAGAGTTGTACAAGCAGTAGCAGGATGTACAAGCGTCACTGTATCAGCTCAGAGAATCTGGGTGATTAATGACAGCTATCACTTGCCCCAGTACTACTAAAACGAGTCTCTAGGGGGCTGGACAAGTCAAGAATTCAGAGGTGGGATCTGCACCTGCTTGCTCTGCCTCTGAATTCTAGGCCCCTCCAGGAGCCCCACAGACTGGATCTTTGACACACATGCCCTAGACTATTGCATGATTAAGTAGGAACCATGATCATCACCTTGAGTTTTAAAGCAGTGTGACCATTTTTTAGGGATCCTTATCCTGTCTGTGCATGGTAGACATGCTCTGATGATGCCTGCTGAATCAAAGCCCTGAAGGGATTTAGGCAGAACATCTAGTTCTAGTTTTCAAATGAGCTTAGGCCCAAACTCACAGGCACAAGTGCCCTCAGCTGCTCAAGAGTGGGTCAATTCTAGGCATTCACACAGCAACTCTTGGCACCTAGAGAACTTTAATAAGAAAAAAATAAGGTTCCTATGAAGTTTAGGTGCCAGATGGGTGGAGGTTAAGCATCTACATGTTTTTAACTTTTTTTTTATTTAGGCAACTATAAAAACAAAACTCCAATGCAAGTGGAATACACAGGAATCACATTTTCCACGGAATGCCTAAGTCTACTGAGGGGTGCCTCAAGTCTAGAAAGCTTGACTGGAGTTCTTGAATGCTGCAGTAGACAACCCAGTGCAGCCCAAGGGATATGACCACTTATGCAATAGTTAATTATTCTGGACACTTCCCCCAAGAATATATTTGGACATCTAGGTACAACCACCACATATAGAAAAAGGAGGGTCTTTCCAGCATGTAGGAATCTAAAGTCTACATGCTGCTTTAGTCACCTAGGTCCCAGATTCACAAGGTATTTAGACACTTAAGTCAGTGGAAGTTAGACACCTACATGCCTTTCTGAATACACTTAAATCAGTGCAAGTTAGGCTCCTAAATGACTTCATGAATCTGAGAGAAATGTAAAACTCTAAAGCTCTTGGTTTAGAGGTGGTATCTTTTTTTAGATCAACTAAAATAGGAAAAAAATTATCTTTTTTGTAAGCTTTTGGGCACATGTGCCCTTCTTCAGGCTGAGGGGAAATCAAAGATTGTAAAAGTCCCCTTAGGTAGAAAAGAAACTTCATTCTGCATAGAGGAAGCTGAAGGGTGGATGTATATTCCTCTGGGTTCATGAGAGGCACATTGTGTGAGTTACTCCTTGATGTGCAGATAAGACTGTTTCTCTTCTTTGGTGGTGTCAGATATCAGAAAGGCAGGGAGGTATAGAAATCTTTCTTGTTCAGTAACGAAGCTTATAATTCCAAAAATGGCTATATGGTATCTTCCATGTTTCAGGGATATGTTTTGTAGCCATGTTGGTCTGAGACAAAGAGAAATACAAATTGTTTTTTGCTATTTTTTAGTTGGTCTAATAAAAGGTATCACCTCTGAACCAAGAGTTTTAGAGTTTTTTGTTTCTCTGTCTCATGCCAACATGGCTACAAAACATTTGCCTGAAACAAGAAGAAGGACACATGTGCCTGAAAGCTTGCAAAGAAAGATAAGCTTTATCAATCTGAGCCTTTATTAGAATTGGCCCTTAATGCAATGGATAGATATTAGAGGTGGCTGTTTTGCAGGTATATATTTTATTGGTAAGAAATGGGTAAAAAAAAAAATATCAGAGGGTAACTTTGATACCAGGCATCAAGGCTACCAGCCTGGGCCCTTCAGTTAAATGGACATGCAGATTTATCATGTCTACAAGGCATAACAGAGCTTTAAAGAACTCATGGGCAGAATCTACTGATGTATTTACTAGGACACTTCTGTAATCATCCCCTGTCACGGGAATGGGGACCTCAAGCAAGGACTGCTCACACATGCACATGCGCAGGCCTAGAAACATTGTGTTCATCTTGTTTGGGAAGTGAACTACATCTCCCCTGCCCCTGTCCCCCTCTTCCCTTTCCTAACTGGCCAGCAGCACTGTTGAAACCTAGGTGGGGTCCCCAGCACTTCTGGGGGTAAGAACAGGTACCTGTGAGCCAAGAACGACTGGTGCCTCCCAAGACTGGGGGAGAGCACAATCTGTGGGCTGCACCGGTGGTGGAGGGATGGTGATTGGCGACCGCCTGCAGAAGCTGTGGGTGGGGAGGGGGTGGCAAGTAGTAGAAGCCAGTGGCAGCAGTGGCAAGTGGCGACCACCCATAGAAGCCAACGCTGGCGTCAGCCAATCTCGTGGCGGGGGGCACATGCTGCCCCCCCGCCAGTATTCCCTGTATGAGTTACCTATACTGTGAGCAGCTGGGCTCTGAGCTCCTGCCCCTTGTGCCACCCCTCCCCCCACAAAGGCTGCATCAGCTGCCTGAGGTAAAGCATCACATAGGGGACCCTTCCCCCCACCCTGTCATGTAGGGGAGAGTGCACAGGATCCCCCTGGAACCTCCCTTAGGGGAGAGAGTGAGGTGCAGCACCTCCTCCACCAGGGCATAGGTGCTTTCACTCATGAAAAGACTAATACACACCACAGGCACCCATATAGGATGGTCCCCACAGAGAGGGGTGTGGCAATAGGTCCCACTTGCACAGGTAGAAGAGCCCACCCTGGGGAGAGGGTTCCTCAAGGTGATCCACATACCAACATGTTCCCCTCCTTGGGGAAGGCACCGTAAGGGAGGGGGTCTGGCCTGTGGGGTGGATCCAGCCCACCTAGTCTAGTAGGCTACCAGCAGTGAGGGATTGCAGGGTATGACCTGCTGCAGAATTCAGGGCTCCCAAGCAGGAAGGGGTGAGCAAGGGCTGCCAGACCTACACCTCCTATCCCAGATCCACCTCAGCTGCTACTGGCCCAACAGATCTAGCCTGCACTGAGGGCCCACAGTCTGATCCTGACCTGCAGCCTGGTGTGAGCTTGCTATCCCTGTTGTGTGGCAGTTGCATGCACACAGGACTCCCTTTGGGAGAGAGTAAGGTACAGCAATTTTATTCTTACATACCACACATGCAGACACACACAGAACTACCTCTTGTGGGTAGAGCCATGTACAGTATCTTCCTTTGCACACAAATGCCCCTCCCCCTGCCCCACCTTGGGAGAAAAGTGTTGTACGATAAAGATAATGCCCCAGACAGACAATAAAATGTTATGTCCCACTCTGCAGAAACACTGAGCTACTAGCAAATCCTCCCTTCCCTCCACACACATTTCTAGGAAAATGTGTCAACACAAGGCAAAATACCCAGAAATACCAAAATGCTTCAAACACATGCAATAAAACACATACACTAAGGCAGAGATAAAATACTTTGCAATATCCTTTCCCTTTAAGAACAGAAAATAATATACATACTGGACCTCCCCATCCAAATGCACACGCCTAGCAAGAAAGGCTTCAAATTCCAGTGAAGTATCCCTGGCAAAACCATTATATACAAAACAAAATCTCTCTTCCTCACCCCAAGGAAGAACTCACACACAGTAAAAGCCCCACAGCTGTAGGTAAAGTCTTGTCTATACTTCAGCAAAGGAAGGTTTGAAGGACCAAGAGAACATTTTATTCTGTCTGGGCTGAGTTCTGTACCCATCTATTATGCAACTACTACTGAAAGGAAATACTACCTTAGATAACAGCCTTCATGGCTCTGTAACTCAGGAGGCCTGCTAAGATGAATTTAGATTGCATAGCCCATTTTTGGTAAGCACTTCAGACTCGCACTGCATGGCAGGCACAGTCAATATGTCATTATCATTGCAAACCCAAGAAAAAGAATTTAGAAGCGTCTTTTTATTCGAAAGTTATCATGATTTTCAAGCAATAGTTGTCAGCTACTAAAGAAAAGGCAATCATTTCCCTATCAGTTTACACAGTTAATATATTATTCAGTATACTGGATTAGATGACATAACTGAAGGAAGTTGGGAGAGTTCTTGAACAATACACTGGAAGCTGGCTTGTTAAGCCATTATTGATTCTCTTCTCCAAGTAAAACATACCTAGCTTTACAACAAAGTTTAACATTAGGTTTAGCCTCAGGCTAATTAATTTACAATATCATTACAAAAGGTTTTAACATGGGTATGAGATCTGGAAATTGCAGGTGATACAGCGCTTTTTTATTACTACTACCATAATATGTTTGCTGCTGCTACCAAAAATTTTGTTAAGCAGGTTGATGATGGAGGGAGATTAATTCCTGTTCCTAGTCTCAGTGAAGCTGACAAATACCAGCCTCTGAGCCTTGTTATTAAGAAGAGAACGTGTTTTCTTTCAAAAAAATCTAAATTTGCTTCAACGCCTTTCACCTTAAAAGACATTCTTCAGGGAGAGAAAGAAATTTCTTCAGGTACGTTTTCTGTCCTTCTTTAAATCCTATAAAATAATATTTTGCAGTAAATGTAGAACTATAGTAATATGTGGAAATCATAAATAACATGAAGCGGTATTAGTATACTTTTCAGACAATTACCTTAATGAGTTATGTAATACACTCATGGAATAGAGGAGTAAATTATAAACATTGTTGGACTTTAATAAAAAGTTAAAGCTGCACTTCTATGATTACTAGGTGTCTAAAGGAAGGCACCACAGTCAGCTCAATGAAATGGACTAAATATCTGAAGTTTCCAAAAACAAGTTTAAAAATCCACTTAATGTATTAATAAAGTGTAATTCAACCTTATGTTTGTTTACAAAGTATGACTACAGAAGAGTCCTCATAAATACAGTAATATATCTTGCCTATGACTTACTTAAAGTTCCATTATTTCTTATAGACATTATAAATACACATATTCAGTAGTATTTACTAGGGACAAAAAATACTAGCCTCAATCCTATAGTTGGTTTATACGAATGAACGCTTGTATTGCCTCAGTTAACAGAGCTCAGCATGGGGCCAAGAACTTACCAATACTGATCTGATTAAATACTTTTTATATAAGATATTATAAAATTATAATTTCTTTTTATTCATTTTCCTGTTTCATTAATTTTACACAGACATTTAAGAAGTGTAATTGCTTCTAGATATAAAGTTTAATAAGTCTTAAGGAGACACTGTCATAGCACGTATACATTTCGACTATAGTGCCTATATTTTCCCTCATAGAGCCACATAACTAACAGCTATCTATAGTGTTGCTTTATATTCTAAAATAAAAAAGTGAAATCAATTTTAGAAACTTAGCATTAATAAACAACCTAGTAAGACAAACCAATGAAGTCACATGCAGGAGGGAACATCTATAGGAAAAAAATATATTTCAGGATTACAAGGAAACTTGACAGAAAAAATAAGTGTTAAATCCTTATACTGATGAGTAATATATTCATCAGTACACTGATAAATCCTTATACCAATGAGAAAGTCAGTTGGATTATTTGAGTTAAAGTTGCAAAAGACTTGTAAACCTTTGAAAAAATTGAGAATACTTGGATACTCTTTAAAGTAAGGGTGAGGTGTCATGAAGAGAATTTATTTTGATTTATATTAAGAATTTTAAAATTTGTTTTCTAATTTTGTGTGACAAAGATGTATTTTTGATGACAGATATATGTACTGATGACCGATAAGTATAGGTACAATCCATTTAGCCTTATGAGAACATGTATAAAACATTTTATTGAAAATTTAACTGGAAGATTTGATCTCAATAACCTTAAAATGTCACTCTATCCAGTAGACTACAAGGTTTTAATTAACAGATATATAGATTTAACCCAAGACCCTCAAAGGCTTTTAGATGCCTCACTCATATCTCTCATTTCAGATTCTGGGTCTTAGGCATAATATTTTGATCTTTAGTAGGTTCTTGTTTTTCCAGTCAGTCTAACAGAAAAAATACCTTATATATAACTAGGAAAATATTACTTAAAATATTATTGGGGATAGAAAATAAAGGAAATTCCCTACTTTATTGCAAGATCCATGTTTATGCAAAATTTCAAGAAAGTTAGATTTGGTTTGCCTTATGGTTTGCTACTTTTTCAAAAATGGATCAAGTGGATTCTAACTTCTATCAAGTGATAAGGGCCAGGAAGCACATATGGTATGTTACCATCAGTTCTTTGTATTACAAATTCACCTCTATTGCTGCTACTGAAAAATTCAGAACTTATTAAAATAAATTTTACTTTGGATAGTATTACATGGGACTTCACAGCAACTAAGATAGTTTTTTCTCATTGTAATTTTTGCACTATCATGAGCCTCCATGAAAAACACTATGAGGAGGGCAACAAGTTCTGTAGATATGGCACTAGGTTAAGTGTCTAGAGACTAGGTTTTGTTTTTTGGGTTAGACATTGACATATCATATGAATTTGAACAAGTCACTTCCTTTGTGCTTAAGGTTCTCCCTTTACAAATGCAGATAAGACATTATCCTCAATTTATAAAGTGCTCTTATATTTATGGATGAAAAATAGATGATAATATAATCATGGGCAACTGGTGCCTCCTGAGTCAGGAGGGCACTTGTCCACACAGAAGCCAGTAAGTGACAGGGAGGGGATCCCCGTGTGGCCGATTGTGCTGACCGGGGGAAGGTGTCCCCGCAGCCAATTATGCTGACCTGGAAGTGCCAGGGGCATGCCCAGAAATGCCAGGGGCACTTCTCCTGGCACCCCCACTCCCTGGCTGGCACTCTTGGGGTGTGGGGCAGCACTCCCACCTGCCCCCACACCCGTCACCTAAGCGGAAAATGCTCACTTTCAGGGGGTGCACCAGTGGTCTCAGGGGGTACATGTGCACCACCTACATGTCGCCACTGAATATAATCATTATGATTAGCTTCCTCTATTTGTTTGTATTTCATTACAAAGGAATGAATGCCAGTACTTGGTATTGTGAGAGTGATGCAACCTGTTCTTTCATTTAATATTTTTTGGTAAAACTAATGACAATTATGTCAAACTCCCTTATATTACTGACATAATTATCAGCCATTTGATGGCTGAATATTTGGATATTATTGTGTTTATAACCTGGGGATTTCTACTTTATCATATTGTACCTGAACATGAGAGTGTTTTCCAAAACAGAAAATATCCTCTTTTCCTCAGGTGTTTCATCCTATCAGTTGTTAAACTATGAGGACAAATCAGATCTTTCTCTGAATGGTAAACGAGGAAATCAGATAATGAATGATGTCGGGGTCAATATTGATGGATCAGATTCTGTTGCAGTTAAAGCTTCATTTGGCATAGTGACCAAACATGAGGTTGAAGTACCAACATTGCTTAAAGAACTTACTACTAGGTTAGTACTACATTTTTATATACTTAGCCTATCTGACTCTATAATTAGATTATAGGAAATTTCATTGCAGTCTTGTTTCATATTCCATTAATATAATATTGTGCTTTTTATTGAATAAGTCAAAGAATAAAATTCACTATCAAATCCTTAATAAATGCTTGGATTATAAGGTCAGAAGGGACCACTATGATCAGCAGTTCTAACCATCTACATAGCACAAATGGTGGGACTTTCCTGAATTGATCCCTGTTTGAATTAATATATATCTTTAAGCAAATATCCAATATTGATTTTAAAATGTCCAGTGATCAAGAATCCAGCACAAACACTGGTAATTTAATCCATTTAGTATCACTGTTAAACATTAGCACTTTATTTTGAACAGACTTGTACAGCTTCTGATTCTAGTCAGAAGCTATACAAGTTTCTGGGTCTTGTTATATTTCTATTTGTTAGATCAGCCATATGCTACCAAAGATCATTTCTCTATGTAGATATTTATGGAATGTAATCAAATCTCTCCCTTAACCTTCACTTTGATAAGCTAAATACATTAACTCCTTCAGCATTTTTCTATAAAGAATGTTTCTAATCATTCTTAAGGTTCTTCTCTGAATCCCCTCCAATTTTTCATCGTCCTTAGTTGTGGATGCTGGAACTGACTGCACTGTTCATAAAACTGGGGCACAAGTGCCAAACACAGTAGTAATATAACCTCTCTGCTCTCAGTTTATATTCCTCTGTTTATACAGCCAAGGCTTGAATTAACTCTTTTGGCCATAGCTTCCCACTGGAAGCTCATGGTCAACTGATTATCCACCTTGAAAGTTGTCTTTCTAGAATTACTGCTTTCCAGGATGGAGTCCTTGCATCCTGTAAGTATGGCTTGCATTCTTGTTCCTAGAGATGTGACTTGACCATGTGGCCATAGTAAAATGGAAATGGTTTGCATGACCTACTTTCCCAAGCAATTTAGATCCCTCAGTATCAGTGGTTTGTCCTCCTCAGTATTTACTGCTCCTTGAATTTATGAACATTTAATCAATAATTATTTTTTCCAGTTTTGTAATACAAGTTTAAAAACCTTTGGGCTAATAACCAAATCTTGCAAGACTCTCTAGAAACATATGTATTTGAGAATCATTTCTTGTTTATACTTCTGTTTTGAGATCTATCTGTTAGGCAGTTTTTACTAATTTAATATGTACCATATTTATTTTGCATAATTTTAGTTTCATAATAAAAATGCTGTGTGGTATCAGATCAAATACCTTTCAGAAGCCTTAGTATACTGTATTAATAATATTTTCATTACCAATCAAGCATGTAATCTGGTCAAAACAGTTATCATATTAGATCTGTTTTTCATAAACTCATGTTGATTGATATTAATTACAATACTCTTCAATTCTTTATTAAGAATCCTATATCAGGAGTTTCATTATTTTGCCCATGGTTAAGGTCAAAGTAACAGGTGTACAACTCCTTGAGTTATTTGTTTTAGCCATTTTTTTTAGTATTGACATACTTGCTATCTTTCTTCCATCTCAATTGAAAATTCCTAGTCTTCCAAGACTTACTGAAAATCAACACTCATATTCCAGAGACCTCCTCACTTAGCATTTTTCAACTGTACAGTGCAAGTTATCCAGATCTGCTGGTTTATAATGTCTGATTTTATTAGATGTTGTTTAATTTGCTAATTATGTATGGATTCTTTCTGTTTATTTTAGAAAAATTAACTTTGATCATTGCCTCGTCCGTCAGGCAAGACAAAGTAGGAAGGAAGTTCTGTGTGTGGTAATGGAAAGTATTAGAACAACACGGCAATGCTCATTATCTGTCCATGCTGGAATGCGTGGGGAAACAATGAGGGTAAATATGTTTGACAGATGTCTCTCACTAAAGAGAAAATAGTAGAATTCTTTTTGTAGTTGTTTGTTGCCAGATTTTTACTGAGTTTACATTGGTGTAAACCCAGAGCAATTTTAATAGAAGTCATTGGAGTTGCATTGACGTAAATGATATGGTCCTCTGTTTCTTCTGGGTTGTTTGGTTTTTTTTGTGTGGAGTGTAGAGTAATTACTACAACACTTTTAGGATCTTTGAGTGTCATCCTGACCTTAGGAAGAGCAAAACTCCCATTAACTTTAATGCTGTCAGGATTTTAGCTCTGTTCATTTAGTATTGGCTTTGTACCACAATTATATCATCTGTATAAAAATATGAATGCAAAATCTTCAATTAGAAAACATGCTTTCAAGTCAGATTCTGTATGAGAGAAGAGGACAGATCACTAAAAATGAAAGGAAGGGAGCAGACATGATGGTGGTGGTGGTGCTGGCAAGGGCCATGGTGATCTGTTCTGAGTTGTTGGAACTATTTGCTCCCAACCCATCTACACTGCTAATAGTTCATTTCTGATGCACCTGAGTGTGAGTGAGTGGGTAGGGCTTATTTTGTCAGTATTGGACTCAGGATATGGAAGGAAGCCATACAGACATAGCCTCAGTTAAGTCTAATGAAATCTGATATTTGTCCCAGAAATATTCCTTAGAAATTACTGGTAGCCATTCATAATGAACACAGTAAGTCACCTTTACTTGCGTAGTCCCCATTGCTGGTTAATTAGGCCTGAATATAAATGTAAATACAATTTCTCATTAAAAGGGAGCCTACTATAATGCTATAGATCAGCAAATACAGTCTGTAACACTATAATCAACAAAAAGCAAAGCAAATTCACTAAGAAAGATGGCATATTTGGGCTCAAGATCAGCACAGCTGAGTTTGAGAGTTTGGGGAGTAGGAACCACAGTGCTGGGGTCCTATTAAGGGATAAAAATTAGAGTTGGAGAAGAGGTGGAGTTGCAAGAATGGGGATTTAGAAGTAGGTGGTGTATTACTGTCTTTCTGGAGAAAGGAGGTGGGAAATACCACAGCTTTGCATTTGAAAAAACAGGTTATCAGAAGCCAGCCCTGGGATCATTTTTAAATGGTAGGTTGTTTCCACACATCTCTATGCTCTTGTAAATGTTAAACCTCTTCTGAAAACTTAAAAAAGCTATTTTTGAATGCCAAAGGAAGGTGAAAGTACCCCCATTGTGTCTGTATGCTGGGAGCAGAGCTGAGCTGATACAGCCCAGCCCTTCTCCTAGCACTATTTTCAGAAAGGGAGGGGGTGAAGGAAGTAGGGGGAGCTAATTTTGAGGGCTGCCCAGCTGGTGTTGGAGGATGGGACGGGTGGATTGGAGCCCCCTTGAGTTGGGGAGCTCCAATCCACTTATCTAGCACAGGTTGAGGAAACTCTAGAAGGGACCTCCCTCCTTTCCTTCTTCCCCTCCCTCCCTCCCTAAAAAGCACCAAAGTTTGGGGGGTGGCAGCGGGGAGCTAGAGGAAGATGCTTTAGAGACGTAGTCTCTCTCCTTGGATCAGCTCCAAATTGGAGCACAATCCCTCACCCTCCTGACCTAACAGCTAATGTCTGTGGGGTCAGGAGGATCTGTCTAACTCATGGCAGTTTACAGAAAGTGCCTGTAAACTGCCATGAATTAGACTGAGGAGTTGAATATTTTGGATTGCTCATCCCAATCAAAATGAACCAATAATCCTGCAAGATTTGATCATCACTAATGTTTATGGATCAGGCACAAAACCTATGTTTCTATGCCCAGATTGGAAATTAGCTTGTTTTCTCTTCATCAGACAGTAGTGAAGTGTAGAACAGAAAGGATTCCATTAGTATGCTGATCAGCATTGATAAAATTTCTTTAGAGACTGAACTTGATTTTGTTTCAAAAAAGTTTCTACTGCTGAATTTTTTTAATATAGTTGTAATGTAATCTCAGTTTAAAATATATTTATTTTAATATATTTCTTTTTTTAATCACAGTTTCACATTATCGAAGACAATTATAAAGTACGGGACAAAGCTATTGTTTTTCCAGCACACACAACCATTGCATTTAGTGTATTTGAACTTTATATTCACTTGGATGGTAATTTTGGTAAGTGGCCTGTCTTTTAATTATTACTATTAGCTATAGATGTTAGACTTTCAAACAGTTCTTGCTCTGAGAGTTGGCATACCCAACCCTCAATCTCACAGATGTTTATGCACATGGTGATTGACTTCATAAGGCCTAGCTCTAATAATTTTTTTTTCTAAAATACGTGCAAAAAGTATTGGAGTTTGATTTATTTTGTAAAGGATGTCACAAAATTAACTAAGATGTGCATTTTATACATAAGCTTAAAAATATTAAAACAATATTTTAATGGTTACATACAGAAGATACTTCTGTATGTCAACATATAATTTTTCAGGTTTGTCTAGGTATCTCAGGGTCATCTGACCCACTTCTTTATAAAAGAACATGGTGCCCGCCCCCCCCAAAACAAAACAAAACAAAACAAAACAAAACAAAACAAAACAAAACAAAACTTCTGAACAAACAACAGTTTTCCAGCCTGGGACTTTCATTTTAATTAGCACCAAAACAATTAAAAATAGTCTCATGAATCACGGTTATGTATAAGACAGGATAGGTTGGGGCAACAATTGTTGTTTGAGGCAGATGATTCAAAATTGTAACAAAATAAACAAAACAATTACTCAAACAAATAAAGAAAATTAATGCACATATCTACAACTTTCCATCTATAGAAAAGTTAAAATGTGTGTTTCCTTTATTTTCCAGTGCTCCATACCTCAGCCTAGGACTATAGTTAGGTGGGAACTTTTCTGTCAATCAAGATACTTTGAAAACAACCCCCAATTCAGTTTAAGGGCTTGTTCCTGTGCCTAGTAAAGTCAGTTGCAAAACTTCAGTTCATTTCATATTTTCAGGCATAGGTTTTTAAGGCCAGATCCACAAAGGTATTTTTAAACTTAACTCCTAATGATTTGGATTTCTAAATACCTTTTTAAATCAGAGCATTAGCGAGCACATTTTGTTTAGACTGTCTTTAAAACATGAAATAAAAGAGAAGAGAAACTCACTGAGGTAATGTTTATTTCTGTACGTTTATGTACTACTATTCACTTGTTACAGAAGTTCTTTGCAGTACCTTAGATATAAATTCTGTAAACAGAAGCCCTCTAAATTTTGAAGTTCATTGATTCAGATTTATGCGGCATGTTTGTATTTCTGTCACAACTTTAAGTACATTCAAAACTAGGTATAATTATTGAATTAAAATTTAAAAGAAGTAATGCAACCAGTACAGTACTATTGGATATTCATTTTGGTATCATGTACAATGTAAATCTCAGTTTTGGAATGCCTATCAACTTGATTTGTAACTGTACATAAATGTACTAGCACTGATTATTTTTTTTGCTAAAATGATCACCAGTCAACAATGTTGATTTATAATATATATAATATATATATATATATATAATATATGTTATATAATATATGTATAATATACATTATATATATTTATATATTTAATCTTAAGAATCTTGTTAGCTTTATAATACCTGTTGTAAAGTAAAAAAGATTTTGTACTGTGTTTTGAAATAGAATAATTTTGAATTTCATCTTTCCAAAAAGTCTTTTTTTTTATATACAGAATTTTGTGTCACTCCAGTTTCCAAAGGAGGATTTGAAAAAGAGCAGTCTGGATCATTTTCAATGAGCAAATTAAGGAGTAATCTGTTCCGTCGAAGTATGATGTTTTTGTTCAAGTTCACTAATTAATATATTAAGTGCATGTTTTTGGGTTTGGGTTGGGGGGGTTGGCTTAGTGTGCGAGTTCAAGAACTCAAAATATCTAAGCAAAAAATAATTTAAACTTAAAATATGCACTGAGATAAAAGTCTATTAAAATAATTGCAAAAATCTTAAGATATAAATTGAAACAATTTGGTTTAAAATAATTATACCTTTAAGAAACATTAGTAATATTATCATGAAAACCTTCATTAAGTATTTATATATATATCTGTCTCTCTCTCTCTCTCTCTCTCTATATATATATATATAAAAACATAAATATTATACAATGACAACATTTTAGTTTGTTAACCTATTTATATTTTTACAACTTACAGACAGTATTGTTATCAAATCTCCAAGGATGATATGTAAAATGAGCTTGTAAATATAAACTATTTATCAATTAAATATATTAAAACATGTTTTGGAAGAAGCAATCCTGAATTGATAAGGAAATGTCGTATCCATGGTTGTAGATTTTCTCTCTCCAACTATATGAAACCAAAATTTTAGCAAACAGTACAGTTGATACAGTTAAAGACTTCACATTCTCCATCCTAAGTAGTTAGATTTACTTCAGTACTATCCAGTCCAGGCAGTCCTCAACTTATGGCGTTTCGACTTATGGCGATTCCTACTTGCAGCGCTCCACCATTTACACTCATATTATTAGTTTGGGCGCTGCATCTTCCCACTTACGACTCTACAGGGATATTTACAATGAGAAAAAGAGGGCAGCAAAACAAACAACCCTGGATCAGTTTCTCAAAGTGGCCCCAAGTCTCCCTATAAATCTTCCCCAAAGAAGCCCTTCTGAATTCCGTGACCCTGATGAAGGTGTTCCTTCACCTTCTGGTTAAATAAAATTCTGTGTGATTAGTTACTGTATTGTCCTGTTTAATCAATTTATATACAGTACACTTTAGAAAGCTTTGTACTACATAGTGTATATCATTTACAGTTGATTATATAGTTGATTTAAATATGGTGTTTATGGTCATTTCTATAAAAAGTTGGGCATCAGACCCTTGGTCAGGAACATAACCCCCTGTTAGAACATTGTTTCTATGGGAAAATCAGATTCGACTTGCATTGTTTCAACTTCCAGCACCTTTTCCCAGGAACGTAACCTGCTGTAAGTGCGAGGACTGCCTGTAAGTATAAATGAGGTCACTTGGAATGCTGCCATTTGCTGAAGTGACTAGAGGACCAGGCCACATTTTTCCAATTCTAAGTATGGGGGAACCCACAAATGCAAGGGTAAATGTAAATATGGTGGTGCAGTAAATAACTGTTTCTAATGGTGGCCTTTGCAGAGGTGGCTTTATTGTCTCCTCTTTGATCACAGGGGTTTCTTGGGGGCAAACTAAATGTAGTGCAAATTAAAAAGGCCTCAGTGCTGCTCTGATCAGCTGTGGGAAATAGCAGCCTCTAAGGTGTAGTGATCACCGGGTTCATTAAATACAGGCATACATGAATGAGAACAAAAAAATAAGTTTTCTTTGTGGAGCAGTAGAGAAGGCTCTCTAGTCTTTTAGTCTAACTAGTTTAACTGAAGGACCATCTCCCAATTCCCAACCTCTGTAATCTAAGTAAGGGAGTGTATCTCCCAAACTTTTGTAAGAAATTATACTTTGCAAGAGTGTGATTTCAACAGTAATAAAATTAGCCTCCTGCAGGTCATACCTCAGGAATTTCTGATAGGAAAAGTAACTGATGACAAAAGAGATGCATAGGAATGTCAAATGTGAGCTGATAATGGAAAGCCATTTACTTTGTTGACAATGGTTTCTCAAATGTGGTTTCATAGTCCAGTTATTTCATGGTGTGGCATAGACAGTTCGTAACATGCAGACAAGTCATTGGTATTTTTGTGTGCATTCTTTTTCAGAT